AATCCATACATCACAGAAACAAAACACTGTCTCCTTCCTGGGCAGCACAATGACTGCTCTATATCCTGATTCCTCCACAGAGGAGCGTTGGGCATGAACAGCTTCTGAGCACAGGCCCCGAAGGGCAGAAGGCAGTGGTAACGTGCCATCCTGATTTTTACATATCACTACTTTTGGAGCAGACAGGTGTACTTAGAACAACAGTTCCAGCTGCAACTCAAATCTGCACCCTCTTTAAGTTGTTGATGCTTTATTTATTTTATCTATTCTATTCTGTTTAGAAATACTGATTCATTCAAGTACCCTCATGTGGTCTTGGGTTTATTCCATGTATATCAGTGCTCCAATTAGAGAAAAACCTTTCAATGGTGTCAAGCTCAGCAGGAGCCAGGAATCACTGCTTGGTCATATCACCTGGGACAGTTCACTAAGCTGATCCCAACAAAGCTACACCTCCTGTTGGAACTGTGAAGCAAAATTCCTCAGGAAGGGCTATGACATGCAGAGGAGCAACACTGAACATCAGTAATTTTCCATTTAGCATCAGAAAAGTTATTTCCCAGGAGCAGGGAGGTAAGTGCCTCAGGAGGGACGGCCTGCTGAGTATGGCTTGCTCCTCTAGAAGACCACAGCTACCACTGAGTCTGGAATCAAGCTTCACAAACAAAAACACAGCTCAGTATGCAAACCCAAGAACTACACATGGCACTCGGGAAGATACACAGAAAGGCAGCATTTGTAAACAGACAATTTAAAATAACTGGCATGTTGTAGATTCACAATTCACTCTCACACTGTTACTGCACAGCGAGACACAGAATGATACAGAAATTCACATGGAAAGTAGAATTCCTAACACAGGTGACCTTGTGCTTATGTCACAGATATGAGATGAAACTGGAAGCTCTGCTGAACACCAATATCACCAGGTCAGCACTGTGTGCATATGCTGAGTGGCCTGGCCATAACATTGTACTCCTTGTTCCCTGGTGATCTGTGTATCAGCATAAGAGGATGGGATATATATTTGCTTTAGGAGTTACCCATCAGAGTGAAGCATCCCTAAATTCTGATATCCATATTAACTTAATGAGAGCTATAAAAAAGGCACACGTTGTTCTGTAAATTGGAATCAAGTGCACAATCCTGCTACATAGGAAGGGATGACTAAGTCACATAAACAAACTGATAGCTTGGCTTTCTGAAGGGAGATTTTATTTGATTAAATTATCTTCTTGAATTATTTGACCTATCCTAAAAGCATTTCAAATTGTCAAACCCCCCCACATGTACAGCTTTTAACATCTCTAATTTCAACTGTGCACACTATTCCTACCCTCTTCCCTACAAAAGGGTTGAGAGCTGAAGCTCAAAGCAGCTTCTATCCCCCTTCCTCCCCTACTGAAGGCAAAATACCGAAATCATTAAAGACCCTCCTACACAAAAAAAGGAACATATGGAGACAAAACTATCAGCTTATAAAGTTCTTCTCAGAAGAAGTGTAGAGATACAGAAGCAAAATTCCTTCCTACTGAAATCAGTGGCACTTTAGGCATTGGTTTAAATTAAAGCCAACTCTGTCCTTATTTCTCACCCAGAGTGTCAGTTTGATAAGAAAAGGCTGTCAGTGCAAGAATACTGAGCAGCCACCGGTTTCCAGATTGGTTATCAGTGCTCTGCACTTGCACAGCACGATTAACGAAACCTCACTGAGAACCCTCTGAAAGAAAAATCCATTTTACTTTCATCTTTCCTTTATAATCTTATGGATGTGTGAAATATCCAAAACTCAGCTAATGAACAATTCTTAAAAAACGACATAAAGAGCCAAATGGAAACCTGGATCCGTGTTCACAAAGGTGTGGTTCAGATAAGCATCTGAAACCTTCAGTGATCTTGGTGCAGTCCTTTGCTCTTAATTGCAATGCTGGAGAGAAATTTTTGTAGCCAACATTTTTCAAATGACTGTAAAACTTATCTTTAAGAGTAAGATTTAGTAGACTAATCAGCCCTTCTTCTATATTGATTCCACAGAACACAAGCTCCTTTAAAAAAACACTGACAACCATCTAGATTTTTCAGAAGAGCATTAAAGCCACTGATTTATTTTGCTATCCAATTTAGCAGAAAACCATCATTATCTCTGGAGTAAGAGGTACATATTGTTTAGCATTCAAATCAGAACAGATTCTTTTTTTTTTTTTTTTTTTTTCCCCTGAAACATAAGCCCAGGTTCCCAACATGAATGGCTGTAAACAGCTCTGAACGAGCCAAACAAATCCTTCCCAGGATTGCCAAGACCTCTGCTCTGTGCCACCCTCCAGCAGCTGCAGTGTTGAGGAGACCAGGCTGTTCCACTCTGCCTTTCACAGCCAAGCAGAGAAACAATCACCCCCCCCCTTCCTCCTCGGGACTGGGCTGACTTGGAGAAGCAGAATCTACAAGAATTCCCACAGGAGGTGGACCTAAGAGCACAGAGATAAAGCAAAGAAATCTTTTCTTTCACAAAATAGCCCCTTTCAGCAGCAGAGTGCAGGATGCTTAAAAACCCCCTGGTTCTTAGTGGCACATATGGAAGCTGGAGGCCTTGGATGTGCTCCAAGCACGGTGTCTGCTGAGAGCTCCTGAATGTCACCAGCAGCTGGGACAGGTTTTACCATCAGGGCTGTGCCCTCCTTTGCCAAATCTCTCCCCAGCAGGCTCTGGGTAATGAATGGCACTCATCAAAGCAGTCACCTCGTAATTCAATATCACTGTGTTTGCCACAGGAAGGCCTTGGTTCAGCGGGCATCCTCACACTTCCTTCCTTTGCAGTTTGGGCAAAAGGCTCAGTTTAGAAGATCTCAGCACTAGAAATATACATTTATATTGCTTTTAACCAGAAGTCTTATAGCGATGCATTGAATCCCCTATCAACAAAAATCTACAAGTCACTAAGGAAGGATGACAGCTCGCTCTCCTTTATGGTTCCATCAAGACAGCAATTTGTTTGGCTTCAAAACACAGGAAAGAATAGAAAAAAGACTCAGGTCTGTCAAAACACTATTTGACTAGTGAAGACCTTCAGAAAAATCCACACAGATTTCATGTTTGCCAGCCTAATTAAAAGTAATATCGTTAGTTGCACCTCAGAAATGGCGGATGATTCTTAAGTAATCATCCACCAAGTAACTAAGAAATAATGATCGCTACTTATAATATTTTAGGAGACAGTTTTTGTATTATAAAGAGATATCAAACATTTTTGTTTAAGAAAGAATGTAAAGGACTGTGCTTAATTCCCAAAGGGCCTCCTTTTTCCTTCAGTGCTTTTTTCAAAATAGTTTTTGTTCTCTCACTTCTACGTGGGCAGAGAGAAACCAACACCCTCCACATTGCACAGGATCTGCTAATGTGAGGCAGGACTTCAGAAAGACATACTTAAATATTTAAAATTATTTTATTTGACTTCAAGGCCCTGAAGAAAGGCTCATTACTGCAGCACTGCTGCAAGGTGGAATTCTAAGAGGAAAGAACCAGCTATTTTCTATAGCCACAGGCAGGAAGATCATCACAATTAGCTACAGGAGGAGCTGTGAAGTCATCTGGGGAGTTCCTGAATGCTGCACTTTGGGAAGGGAAGGGACTTGTTCCTCTGGTCTGGAGCATGCAGGAAAGGCCAGGTTCTAGACTAGGTAACTAGAGGCAATTCAAACAAGCCATTAGGACAGTCTGGTCAGAGGGAATGCCCACTCAGCAATCCCTAACAGCCAACATTTTCAATACTCTACTTCATTAGAATAAAGGAAATATGACACCATTTGAACCCCAATCCTTTTACATCACACTGAATGTTAGTCATGGAAGATGCAAGCCAGAGAAAGAATGGTTTTTAAACCCTCAGCAAGATTATGACAGAAATCTTTAGACCAAGACCATTTTTCTCTATACTAACTTGTGGTTTGCTTCGAAATGATAAGCTTAGGAAAAGTCATAGAATCTCCTGAGTTGGAAGTGACTCACAGGAATCTCATCAAGTCCAGCTCCTGGCTCGGCACAGGACAACCCCAAAAATCTCATCACGTGCCTGAGAGCCTTGTCCAAACACTCCTTGAGCTCCGTCAGCCTCGGTGCTGGGACGACTTCCCTTAGGAGAATGTTCAGTGCCCAACCACCCTCTGGGGGAACAACCTTTTCCTCATATCCAACCTAAATCTCCCCTGACACAGCTTCGGGCCACTCCCTCGGGTCCTAATGCAGGTCAAGGTGGTTAATTTAATTTCATCTGTTTGCAGTAAGGACGGCTTCCTTTCCTGACACGGAGCTTTGTGTTCCCTGCGGACACGAGATCAAAGAGCTGCCCTCCTCCTGTTATCTCTCCCCGCTCCACTGATCAGACCATGCGGGTCCTTATCAACAGGCTGAAATAAATTGTTCGTACAAACAATTACACCGTTAGCAAAAAGGCAGACACGCAAATCCTTCTTCTTTTAAAGAAAACAGTGTCACATTCTAAAATAAAAACCACATGGGATCTAGGCTTAAAAGCTGATAAAAATCAGCATGCAGGAGAAAAAGAAAAAAAAAAAAAAGAGAGATGAGGGAAAGCAAGAACTTCCCTGCAACAATGGACGTCAGTGTAGTACGAGAGACTCAAAACCTGCCACGAACTGAGCGGAGCCTGATCTGAATTCCCTGTCCAAGGTGACGGCACCCGGGAGGCACGGGCGGGGATGCAGAGCCCCAGGGGGCTCGGCGGCTTTGCGGGACCCCTCGGGGGACCGGGAGGCACCGCCGGGAGCTCTGCCCCGGGTCGGGGGTCCCGCCAGCCCCCCGGCCGCTCCGCCCGCCGCAGCACCCGGGGGGACCCGGTAGCCCCTGGAGCCGGCCCGGCCGACCCCCGGCACCCCCGCCCGGGCAGCGGCTCCTCGGGGCAGCCCCCCCCGGGCCTCCCCGCGCCCCGCCCGGCCCCGCAGACCCTCCCCGGCCACCTGCCGGGTCCCGCCGCCGGCCGCCCTCACCCGCGGACTCGCCGGTGTTGATCCAGTCCGGGTTCGCCAGGCTGGCGATGGCGAAGATGTCGGCGGCCAGGAAGAGGCATCCTGAGATGATGGTCAGTTTGTCCATGTCCTCCGGCTGCCGCAGGGGCCGGGCCGGGGGCGCCTCACGGCCGCGGCTCCATCGGGCCCGCGCGGCGCCGGAAGCGAACCCGGCGGGCGGGGGGGCGGCGGCCGCTCCGGAAGGGGAACCCGCGCTCCCCGCGCGCGCCCCGGGCGGGGCGGGGCTTCCCGAGAGGGGGCGGGGCCGGGGCAGCACGGGTGGGCCGGGACATTCGTTAGGGAGGCGTGGCCAGTGTCGGAGTGGGCGGGGAATCTCCGGGGAGCGAGCAGAGAGTGGGCGGGGCTTTGTTACTGGCGGGCGGGGTTGGTGTTAAGTGGGCGGGGAAGTGGGCGGGACCGGGCAGAAAGGGCGGGGTGGAGATGGACGAGGGGCGGGGCCGAGACAGCCGGTGGGTGTGGTCTAAGGGAGGGGGCGGTGCCTCGGGGCGGGTCTGTCGTGAGGGGCGGGCGGTGCCCGGAGCCCCCGCGCCGCCTCCTGCCTGCCCGGCGCTGCCCTGAGAGGTTCTGACACTTTCTCCGCCGCTGGGTAATCCCCTGCCCTCATGGCCTCTGGCATCCCAGTCCCCAGAGGTGTCTCTGAACCGAGGAATGAGCCTCTTGGTCAGCGCCAAGGGCTGCGAGGCTGTCGCAGGTCTGTCTTCGCCACAGAAACTGCCTCCAGGTTTTCAACTCACCGCTCTCCACCCGTTGGCGATGTTGGGCGTGAGCCTAAATTTGGGAGCTGCTTCTGTGGCAGCGCTGAGGACAGGGGAAGGACTGAGGTCCATGACAGGACACATGACGCTTTGTCTGTGCTGTGCCTTTGGAACAAAACCTTATCCATCCTGGCTGCAGATCCCACCCAAACAGAGCCGGGTTGGATGGCACGCTTTTCCATGGATTCAGAACCGCGGGGAATCTGTGGCCAATAAATGAACAATGCGCCAGTTGTGGGAAACCAGCCCAGTTCTGGCCACAGTAAATCTGTGCCTTCGATATTGTCATCCTGCTCTGGGAACGCGGCAGCGAACGAACCCAGCAGCCCCCACATCTACAGGTACTTGGAAAATACCTAATTGCTTACATATTTTTTCCCTTCCGACAGCAAACACCCACCTGTTTTTTTTTCCAGAGCAGCACAACTGATCTATGTGGAACATACCGGGAAGCCAAGTGGGCGATTGTCTGTGCTGTTTATTTTTATGTTAAGCCTTTTATGTAGACAGGAGACTATACAAACAAAATGCAGATGTCAGTAAAGTAATCTGAAAGTGTTCAACAGCAATCAGTAGGATTTATTATTTGGAAGACAAACCCTGTACTTACATTCAATTGAAATTGCCTATGCTTGACAGATTTTCTTAAGGGTGGAGAAAATAATAAGGCTTTTGATGAAAAACGGCTGAAATTATTCCCTTTAAACCAGGAAAAATTGACGCATGGAAGAAATATGGATTTGAAAAATCCATTTGTTATAGGCATGCAATATTTTCTTGACGTCTTTAATAGCTGGAAACTCCTCTGTTCTATTATTTTGTGCCCTGTTCCCTACCTTTCCTGATTACATGGCCATTTGTAATGAATACTTAAGTAACAGCACTATTGCTTTTTCGCTGTGCAAAATGTATGACTTTTTAAGAAATAAGTTTCTTTGTAGAAACGAATTCCAGTATTTTTATTTGCAGAGAACTGTTGCTATTATGGCTCTTTGGCAGCAACTCAGCAGGCAATGCCTCATATGTACAGAAGCAACTAAGGATGAGAGGTTGAACTATTTGGACAATTAAGAGTGGGAACAGCACCTGCTCAAATGTCCCTTTAAACCTTTTATTGAAGAATGATATCACACTTGCAGCTAATAAAGTTTTCCTCTCACTTTGCAAAGGGCAGTCACCAGCACTGGGAAACCTCTCAGCACACACTGATTGCAGCACTGATGGCAAATACCAGAATGGGTGAACAAGGATTGGTTCTCACAACGTTAAAGGATGGGCTGGATCTCCAGTTAACAAACCTTGTTGAGAAAAGCTCTGCAGATAACGATGGAAAGCTAAAACCAAGTAAAAAGAACTAACTGTGATGTTCAAATGTAATAGCACTGAAAATATTCTTGTTCTGCATTTATGCTTTGAGCCTGTCTCTGATTTATTTACACTTACGCAGATCAAAAGCAACTCAAAATTACAGACAAAAGAAACCAGCACAAACTGTATAAAGCTCAGTGCCAGCATTCCATTGTGATAAAATACCTGTGATCTTAAAATAGCTCATACGGTGACTGTTTCATAATCAGATCAAGATTTAAGCCTATACATTTTTCTCCAGCAAAAACAGATTTCCTATTTATCAGCAGGTTTGTCCCAAGCTTGACTATTACCTTTATGTAGCAACTCAACTTCAGTAATAACATTCTTTGTTCACTGTAGCATTGTTCGAGTAATTTCACTCTACAAGTAACACCCAACTTCCCAAGGCTTGAATATAATTTCCCTTATTGTTTACTTTTTTATTTCTCTTTATTACACAGAGTAGCTGCAAAGTGGCAATGGAGCAATCTCTGTGCTTTAACAATCCGTGCAGGTGTTCACTTGCTAAATGCTTTAAACCCAAAATGAACCCCATCAGTACTAGCAGACTATTACCAGTTATTAAGGGTTTCTTGTGGAACATCAGACACCTGTATTAAACTTGTAATTGAAAGCTCTGTAAATGGGACTGCTTCACATGGGTCCCCAGCCCAATTACAGCAGTCACATGGATACAGTTTGGAGATGAGAGTGTGCTACATTAATTCCAAGCATTAAATTGTCTCTAACATTGGGATCTATGAAGCGAAGACTTGAGTGTAATGAAGTAATTTAGAAATTTACTGTCTGTACAGTGAAAATGCATATCTTTAAATTAGAACAATTTTCCCAGCATTGCCTTTATAGTCTGGGCAGTCCTTTCTTCTTGCACCTTTCAGAGAGAGTTGGTATTCCAAGCACTAGGAAGAGGTATCTACTTGTTTGATGAAATAAAACCTCTCTTTTTAGGAGAGGCTTTGCCCTTTTGATCCAAGTATAAAAATCAGTGGAAAAATCCAGAGCATAAAATAGACATGGATTTGAACTAAGTACTTTTGAATTATTACTTTCTTAGGAGCTGATAGTTTTCATCTATGCCCTAGAGCACCTCCTATGACATACAAAAGTATATGTATGATACTGATTGGGTTGTTGGTTTGTTTCATGGGTTGGGTTTTTTTTTTTTTTTTACATCTATAATTAGAATACTAATCATTGAATATTAAGAATATGCATCACTGAAACTAAGCAGTTCTATTTGCAACAATTTGAAGAAGGCAAGCCCCGAAAGCATTTTCAGTAAAGGCTGTAAGAACAGGCAGTCAAATTATTTGTGGCGTGTGTTGTGTGTGGTGGCTCCTTGCTCTGCAGCAGACACAGGTATTGCTTGTTTGAGCCTCATGCTGGTGTTGCAGTTCAGTACAGTGTTTACTGATACTGCTCCCCTGTGTTTCTGCCAGGCTGCTGACAGAGCTTTAGTCTGCTGCACATTGACCCTCTTGCCTTTTCTCAGTCCCCCAAAGTCACAGTAATTGCAGCTCCCTCCATACCCCATTGTTATCCCCCAGGTATACTGAGGTGCTGGGGCTCCTGTGCTCTTGGCTGCAGTACCAACTGCAGCTCCGTGCTTCCCACTGCCAGCTGGGAAAAGAACTTCATTGGCAGCCTTATCCCTGAAAACACTCAGAGACACACAAACATATCCCCATCCTTATCCCTGAAAACACCCAATCAAACCCATCCCAGTGCTTCCTGCTCGAATGCCGAGGCTCTGTAGGCACCTCCTCATCATCCCCTGGTGCTGCCCATGTGAGGGTTGTTCTGACGTGCCCTCTGCTGCCTCCACAGGAGCATAAAGTCTGGCTGGAAACGAAGCCCCTGAAGTCAGAGGCCTTGTCCACCTGTCACAGCCACGGATCAGGACAGCCGCCAGCAGCTGAGGATACCAAGATGAAGGTCTTGATCCAATCCTGTAAAGGGCTTATCTGTTTCTTTATCAGCTTAACTACTGACAGTACTTAAAGATTAGGATTTAAAAATTAAACAACAGGAAAAAAAATAAGCCCTTCTTGCGAGAGCCACGGCACACAGCTTTTCAAAATATATTGCTCCCAATGCTAAAGGTGATCCATGTAGTAATACAATTAATCTGGTTGGGATACAAGGCACTTAAAAGTTTTCCTGAGGCACAAAGTTTTAATAGAAATAAACCTCAGAGGTAAAGGAAGGAACAGAAGTATTAAGATGAGATAATTAGGCTAGAACAGCAGAAAGGAAGCTCACAGAGCAAGGGGCTTTCCAAGAGATTAAACCTCTAAGCTTATGTTTAAATAAATCATTTGCTATGCTGGAGGAGCAGAAAAAGAATAGCTTGAATGACATCTCCAGTAAGTGAAGGAAGTGGCCTTCAAACAAAGAACAGGATGGTGGAGAGTCTGTCATTCAAGAGTTTTTCCTGAACATAAAACAATACATGGATAACTAGTGGTAATTACAGTATTTGTCTTCATCATATTGACTAAATCTCACCTTGTTTTCTCACTGTAGTTTTTACCTTCAGTGTACAGAGCCAGACTTATCAGCCTTTCAGAAACCATTTTCAGTGAAAAAAACTCAACACAAAATATATGAACTCAGCACTTTATTTGGTGAGTGCAAGCCCACAATTACTCCAGATTAATTTTCTGAAAGAACTGAATTCATAAATAACAAGTTAGTGGTAATTTATGTAGAACATGGGTGACTTAGAGCTCAGGTCCATCTTGAATCTGTATCCCAGTTTTGTTTTCACAACTCATCAAGGAAAGGGGTATTTCCCAAGTCCCCACTAGCTGCCATTGATTTCTTCCCACTGACGAACTTCTTTGCAGCCTGAAAATGGATCAGGAAAGTGGCTGTCAGGAAACACTCACTACAACAGTTTCCCATGCTGCTCCCAGCCTCAGGTTGCCAAACCAAACAACAAACCCTG